TGCAATCACGCCCTATTTATCCTCCAAATGTCCCAGAATTCCTGCTAGCTCTGCCCTTGGGTCCTTGCATTCTCTCCCTGGTACTGCTGGGAGTTGTAGTTTCCAATCACTGGAGTATGGGATAGTGTCCAGAAAGCTGGAGTAGGGGGTGGAATCCATAAGACTCTGCAGAGTTCCTTTAGGACATCCTTCCCCTTAACAGTTCCATGCATGAGAAGAAACAAAGAAGCCATTTAGAATGGGAAAGACAGGGTGGAGGTAAAACAGCTCCAGGCTTAAGAATAATGTGGAATTGCCCTGGGAGAACTTTCCCCACAATTTGTGATCAGAATTTGTGTAATACTGATTTATTTATTCATTAACAAATTTTCTAAGCTACTATGGTCCAGGTACTGTTCATAGCACTGGGAATACAGTAATGAACAAGACTTCTAGATGGCTCCATTCTCATATAGTGAATGCTCTAGTAGACCTTAGATTCTAATGTAATTGTCTGAAGGTTTTGGTTGCAGTTAACAGAAACCCAACTTGTTTAAGAAATTGATTGATTCCTAACCTTCAGTGCCTAATGAGATGTGAAACTGAAGAAGAAATTTAGAGATCACATGTCATCTGGAACTGAGGACAAAATTCTGAGCTACTTATGACACTCTGCATCTGCCTCTTGCCTCTGCCTTTCTGCATGTTGGCTTCTTTCCTTTTGCAGATAAGAGTTCTTTATATAATGGGGGGAGGGGGAATGTTCACTGTAACCTTAGCTTAGCAACCCCAAGAGAAAAATACTTTCTTTTCTCAGTATCTGCATGACAATCCCCAAGAAGGCCCCTCTAGCCCCCGCTTGGGTCATTTTCTCACCTTTTGAACCAGATAATCATTGTTGCCAGAAAGGTGAAGAAGCATGACTGGCCAGACTTAGATCATGTGGCCACTGTTTGATGTGTCACTGTGTACTGTAAGCAATGGCTCCACCTAGAACACATGGAGAGGAGAAGGAATGTCCCCTAATAGGAGAAAAGCAAGAAGATAAAATATCAGTTATCCTGCCATGAAAGACATTTGCCCTAGAGCCTGGCAGGTAGTAAGTATAATAAGGGGTGACTCAAAGTCTTGATAGTACTCATTAAACATGGGGGGAAAATGTCTGTGCTTTGTCATCTTCTGACTACTCCCCACTATAGTGCTATGTCCAAGAGGAAAGCTCACTCCTTCAAAGTCAGGAAATACTTTTCTTAGTGGTGTAAGGAGATGCCTTTTAATTTGATGTGAATTTCAAGTGCTTTAGTAGTACCTGTAATCTTGCCAACACCCAAAGTGGGAGGTTTTCTGCATGTCAAAGTAACTGAGGATAAATGTATCAAGACATTTATTTGGGAATGAAGTTAGGTATCCTACCTTCCCCTTCTTTGAGCCAGTGGCCCTTGAGACAGTGATACCCCTATGTTAATAAAGAGTCATCCACCTATTGGCCTAGTATACTCCCAAAGAGTTTGTCATTCAATTTTGCAACAAATGGTATAACTGCGTGTGGTGTCCATTGTTTGTTCAAGACATCTCCATGAATGTCTGAAATTGGACTCAGTTCCAAGTGGAACTGCAATACTGCGATTCCGTTCCTTTCTCCCTCAGTAAATAATGGATTGTATGATTCCTCTACATACAGTTCATTAATGTTCTTTATAATCCGTTGCACAGCCAGAACTACCTAACCTGACTTGAATTCCTTTATAAGATTCCTCTGCACTTTCCCTTCAGTACTGTGCTTTCAAATTTTAATAATTTGAAGTTACTAGAATATACCATGTCTCTTCTGTTCTTAGTATTGCTCCTTTCTCCCCAGCATATTGTTCTCTCTTTTTTTTTCTATTTGGAAAGCTCATAATTGTTCTTTTGAAATTTAGTTCAGATGTTTGAGATTCTTGGATGTCGTTAGTGACCTCTTTGGTCAATCTTACGTTTTTGTTTTATTCCCTTATGAAGCTATGATTGAGACATGGTGTCTCTTGTTTATGACTCTCTGTCACTATACCTCTCAATCACAGGAACAACCTTTTTGTTCACTTCCATATTTTGCTATACTTAATGCAATGAGTAATGCAAAGTACATATGTTTTAAAAATGGTCCTTGGTTTTTCATCCCATTGGTTTTATTATCCATGAGAACATGGGTTCTGTCTTTTTATATGTAGAATTCTAAAAATATAGTGAATTTGGGCAGTATGAAGTGTTAGCATCTTGCCTATATATATTAGTACAGTTAGGTGTTTAGAATTTGGGGAAATTGTTCTACTAATGACAAGATATAATAACATACCTCTGCTGGTGTGTTAAGAGGTTAAGTAGATAAGCTTGTTGTTCAGCTTGCCATTAGGTTATTAATTGCATCCCAGCCCCTTAGTGGACAATCACTTTTACACTGTCTGTCATATATCAGGAGCATGTCATTTCCTTGGTGCTTGCTATAGTCATTTTTTAATCTTAAGAATTTTATTTTGCTTTATAGTAATAGAGTTGATTTCCAAATTAGCTTTTATACCAGTAAAATAAACTTTTAATAGAAATAACACCTTTATTATTTACCATGTAGATAGAAACTATTGATTTATTTAATGCAACTGATAGTTTATACTTTTAAATGTAATTGTTAAAACTAACTCAGTTAAAAGACTCAGTTTTATTATTTCTCAAAACTGGATTATTTTCTCATTATTTAGTTTTATTATTTCTCAAAACTGGATTATTTTCTCATTTAACATCTGAAAAGGAGCTTTTGGATTAAATATAAGCAATATGTCTTTCATGACTGTCTGCTGTGTTTCCATTTAATTCTCTGACAGACTGCTCAGTAGGGTAATCTGCAGTTACAACACTGTGAATGGATAATATCCAGTAAGTTCCCAGTGCCCCTTCTCTGGAAGTTTGCTTACAATAGTGTATTACTTTGTCTTAATTAGGAAATCATACCATTTTATGCTTTGAGCTGATAGCATCTATGCATACCTTTTTTTCTTAGTGATGATAAGACACATATCATATGCTTTAATTGTTTATATTTTCAAAGGTCTTAAGTTACCTTAGGATTTTTTAGGATTTGAGACTATACTATCATTGTTTTTGAAGGTGACAACAGGTAAAAAAGGAAAACAAATTTCCATTGAATCAGCCATGTGACACTGCATTTTTCTCTTTCTTCTTGTTCCTTCCCCACCTTTGCCCTTCTCCCTGTAGGTTTTGATTTGCTTAGTATGTTCCTGCTTTATATTTTTACTAATCATTGAGTATATGATCATTTTGTTTGTTTAGTTTTCTTTATGGAATTTGAAGGAGAATCTGTCGAATTAATTATATGGTGATCTTAGTACTTTCCAACATGAAATGCAGTTTATTAATCGCTGTTGTGATTTTTTTTTAATAAAAATGTCAAGTGACTTTAAACTCTAGGACATTTAGATTGAAGCAACTACTTTGACCCTTACCTATTGGGCTTATTTTAAACAACCTAAAATAAATCTTAGAGTAAAATTGTGTATGTATTAATTTTCAATAGCCACTATCTTGATTTTTTTAATAGTAAGTTAAGTTAATCCTATACTTTCATAGTCAACTATCATGAGTCAGTGAACATTGTTCTTAGTCTCTTATAAACCTGATACAATCTAATCCCTGGCTGCTGGCCCTGACCATCCATCATCCAGTGTTAATTCAGAGAAAGTGGTAAAACACAAGTATTCAGTATCTACAGTTGAGCTCCTTCTTTTGGAGAAAGTAGAAATAACTGTGTAGATTTGTTTGTAACTTGGTAAAGTAAAAATAAAAGTTTTGTCAGTAAAAAATGGTCCCCTAAGGTTCATGTTTAATTGCCAATCTTTATGATGTTTTCAGCTCACATTATTTAATACAAGTTGTATGAAAGAATGAATGAATGAATGTGTGTGACTCATTTATAGCCACCACCCTGTATGGGACATGACCAAATAGGCTCTGACCTATATACTTTTATCATTTGGCCACTGAAAAATAGTAACATTCATACTTCTTATTAAATGCTCAAAAGTGACAGGAATTGTGTATTTCTATTGATTCATAAAGAATATAGGTATAGATTGAGCTCCAGCGTGGTACATAAGAAGTATTTTGAACTTTGAAATTTTGCTGTTGGAGGCTTTTCAGTTTTAGCTCAAGTTGTCGGCATAGTTGTTTTATTCTTAGCCGTCATTCAGCAGTTTGGTCAGTTTTTAATTTTACTAAATGGAACTTAACTCCTAAGCAGGGTAAATCTATTTTCCATATATCAGCCATAACAACCTTAGTTACTCCCTCTTGACAGTGAGACAGATAAATAAGCTATGGCAACATTTTATTCTGAAAATTTTCAACAAGATACTATGGCTAGGTTAGCATCTGCTAAGTGTTTTGACAGGTTTTTGTTCAGATAGAATTTCACATCAATTGACAATATAGTTTTCACTCTAAACTGCATTTATCTGCTCGCACTATTAACTTTTCTAATAGGAATAGCATCTTGAGTCTTAACAGTTCCTCCAGTCAAATGTGATAATTAGCATATCAGCTTTCTTTATTAAAAAGTATTTAAAATGGGTAATATCCTGGAGGTCACATTTATGATATGAATGCTTTATGGAGATTAAATTGAAGTATTACAGAACCATTTTGTTAAACTTTTATGTATAAAGCTTTAAATACTTAACGAGTTAATTAGGCAGAAATCTTATATATATCAGTAGTAATCACTACTTTAACATCTTTTCCTGGTTGATTTTATATCTATTTTGGTATTTACTGCCTGTATCATTTTTTGTTTGCATCATCACTTTCGTATGTGTCTCATGAATTCACCTGAATATTACATTTTATTTTTAATTTAAAAAAAACCCACATGCTTCTCATATTAAAACATTCTGAGTACCAACACAGCCTAACCGTATCATATATTATGTGTGACATTTGTAAAATGTTGCTAATGTTGTGTTTAATTTTAATAGCCTCAAGTACTACAGCCTTCCAGCAGCCTTCCCAGACCCACAGACAGCGCCCAGGGAAAACTAATAAAGCTGCAACATACAGAGGCCTGCAGTGAACGCACAGTCCAGAGCAATCTTCAGGGTATTGCACATCTGGATAAAAGCTTTACACCCAGCTTGCAGCAAGAAAGCAACTGTGGTCTGGAAGACCAGCCTTTTTCATCAAGCCCAGAATTTGCTAAGGATGTAACTAAGAGTACACCTTCTGAAGCAAACTTGCACATGACCACGGATGCTCAAGAGCCTTATTATTTGGCGAATAATCAAATTAGTGACATGCAGTTGGTACCTACTTCTCTTTGGTCACTTCCCCAGTCAAGTACAGTAGATCAGGCTAAGAGAGTTGGAAGAAACCAGTCTTCACCTGAAGGGTACACGTCTCAGCCTAAGCCCTCGCAGCTTTTTAAGCCACCCATCTTGAATTCTTTGGTACCTCCTCCAGTTTCTGAATCATCTTCAAGTAGGACTCCCACTTGTAAGAAACCATCACTAATCACACCATGTAATTCAGCAAAACTTCAGCCAGCATCCAGTCAAACAAATCTTGCAAATAATTCAAATACAAAGGCATCTAAGCTCCGTCCCCCTTCTGGCTCTTTCAAACAAAAACAAATTAGCAGCCCCCTAGTTGAGCCTCAAAACTTCCAGGCCAAGACAAGTATCCCAAGGCCATTAATAAGAAGAAAAGAAATCATGCAGAATCAGAATGGCAATTTGAATTCTGGGGATTGTTTGGCTTCTAATCGGTATTCTCGTCTTCCTAAACCAAAGATACATTAAGTACTTAGCCATCACCTGCCAATTTGTTCTGTTTTGTTTTGCAAAAACAAAAATCTGTTCTGTGATAGCTTTATGTGCAATTTGCTATACCATAATGGAGGTTCCATTGAAAGTCTGCAAATCTTAAAATTAAAATGTGGAAACTTTACCTAGTTTGGCTCTTCCATTTTATATCCTGGTTAAAGTACATAGCATTTGAGCATATTTGTCTCAGGTAAACACAAAAGTTTGCTTATCCATCTTGGATGCCTACAGAAGGCTCTAATCATGTTACCCTTTTTTCATCCCTCTGCACATCAGAAAACTCTTAATACTCCATTTAGCAGGCAAGAACTGTGCTTTGCTGATTTAGTCTTTTTAGACCTGTATTAATTGTGGTTCTCAAAGCCTCATCCTTTTTCGCTTGTCCCTTCTGTAAATATGGCTACTATTTTACTAAAGGTTTGATGAAAATGATGATAATCTGTAAGCAGAGTTCTGGATAGTGATTTGTATATTTTCAAGGTCTATGCAAATGCTCTGTGATGAATAAAGGAGATAAGGCTTTTAGTAGGAAATCTATGTAAGTTTTATTTTTCATTGCTAGGATCACAAGTTAGTCTCAATATTTATTTATTTACCAGAGCATTTCCCCAGGCTAAAAATATTTTATATTATATATAAATAAGTTATAGCTTACAGTAATGGCTTGTTTTACACACGCACACACCATCCTATTTGTATTTATTTTCGCTACTGGATAAACTTGGAAAGCTTAAGACAACACCTTGAAACCTGTACCTACAGAGGTATTTATTTGTAACACATGTTGGTGCTAGAGTTTTGCTGGTAATTCAGTTTTGAACTTTACAGGCTTTTAGGTACATGGTAGCTATTTTAAGTTTCCACAGCATATATTAAGTCTCTGTGGTAATGTTTATATTTATTGACTTTTATGCTAATATCCGCAGACTAGAATAATGGGTTTGAAATGTTTGCATAACACTTGGATGGGCTATAAATATACCATACAGGGGGATTTAAAATGGTTTTCTATAATAAATCAGTTAAAATATTTTGAATAATTATGTTTAAGTAACATCATTTTGAGAAAGTGATATTCACAATAGTTTTATTTTCCTGAGTTTTCCCGGCCTATCCTTTATGTTGATGCATGTTTGAACAAGTTTCTTAAAAAATAGGTTTGGGAAGATAGAATTGGAGAGGCAAACTTGTGTCCTATTAAAAGGTATTGAAAGATATTTCAATGGCAATATATTTATTTATTTTTAATGGGTTAAGGAAGTAGCTGTGGAACCTCCAAGGGACCATGCACACTAGTCTAGTCAGGCTTCAAGCTGCTCAACAGATGATTCAGTATACTTTCTCCCCTGCTCTCCCAAATCATGTGACCTTGAGGCTATTCACCTGTTGATGCTTTAATTAAATTAATGTCTTTTAGATAGATGGGTATTTTGGTTTGATCATTTTTTGCTAAAAAATGTATCAGAAGAGGATAATGACCAAAAAACTTAATGATTCAAATTTCTAAGAATTTCTTTAAAAAATGAGCATTGGTAAATTATCTGCCCTTTTGAAGAGAAACAGCAAGTGTTTCAGTGAAAATTTCCACAAAGATGTCTACTACCATTTTGATTCAGTCTTCCCTTCCCTGTCAACCATGCGAGTGAAGTTGGTATTCACTAGATACAAAGCCTTTTTTGATTTGGTAGTAGGTGAACAGCATAAATATGTTATCTTACTCTCAGTTGACTTTGGCTGCAGAAGCACTAACTTTCAGAATTTTTCACATAGTCCAGACCTTGTTAGTATAGTGATAGACATATAAGCAGAGTTCTTTTTTGTTTCATAGACATGAGCATTGATGACTGCAGCTGTAAATGATACATGGGGTCTTTTCATGTTGAAGGAGAAAGAAGAGCACTGATCTCATATATTGCAAAGGGGGTATTATCAAACTATGTTTTCTTGAAGAAGAGCATACAATGAGCTTGTTTGTTTTGGTTTATTTAGAAATTGGTGTAGACAAGTAGGCCTTTATTCCTAGAGGAAAAGCTTTAAATTTTTGCTTTATTTTTAATCTCTTAGTCTGAAGGAAATGTCTTTACTATATGAAAATGTTGATTCCTGACTTGTTTAATCTAAACTTTTTCAAACTCTTTTATTTTTTTCTCCTTCATGAATTTGCAGAAATACGTTATAACCCATCAGTTCAACTTCTCTGTGCCTTTGTTGGATCTTATCTTGGCAGAAATCTCATCAGAATAATTATGAAACAGTGAATTTAACAGAAAAAGTAGGATATATGTACAAAATAGTATTTACCTGCAATCCTTTTTAAAAGCTGCAAGAATATTATGCTAATCTGCTTCTCAGTAAATGTAAATTTCAGAAACGAAACAAGGATGTAGCTTGCTTTATTAATCAGAGATCACTCAGTTTTGGCTTGATCTCTGTTTAGTGCTTCTATAAGTGACTGTGTCAAATCCTCCACTGGAACTTTTTCTTAGTTCTTGTAATACTGGTAAAGATGGTTGCAGTATATGAACTTAAGTCCTGAGGAAGTTTTTGGGGATTAGTTAAGTTTCACACTTGTGAAAGAGAAGGTTCAGGTAGTATGTAGAATAATACATTTAGTTGTTACTGGGTGCATATCAAATTCTTTAAAGGAAGCTTTGTTTAATTAGTTAAAGAATACAGGTGAAGATGATTTTAGAACATTAAATAAACAAAGGATTATGTATTTACATCATTAAGAATGTTTCTAATAACTGAGACCCTCTAGCACTTTTCTTTTGGAGTCTCATTTTAATTTGTGCAATATTTTCAGGCATATAGACTACTGTTCATTGTATTTATATAGATATTAGGGAACTTACTAAATATTTTAACAAGTAAAAATACGAATATGAAAGAAAATATCAGATTTGCACTTTAAATGAGCTTCATTGCTTGGAGTTGTGCCTGAAATATGGAAATGCCTCCTATTGGATGTGGCTTTCTTTGTTGAAATGAATTTCTCTTTAATTATAGCTGTTTGAAGTACAGCCTTTCACAGAATTATATCCTCAGCATGCCACTTTTTCCATTAAATTTTTTAAATATTTCTTCGTCTCCACTGAAGTATTTAACTGTACATCAAAGAGAACATTAAACCCCCTATAGCTGTAAATCCTAAATCTTTCCATGGCATAAGTGGTGTTACAGACACACAGGTATACGCTTCATTTCTGAGCAGGGTTGTCATGATGTCATGATGGTTTTTTGGTCTCTAGGATGTAATTTGGAATCACCAAATAGGCATTTAGTGAAGACAATGAAGACTGCAGCACCATTTCTGTTTATTCTCCATCTCACCCAGTAGTTTTCATGTTTATAAGTTAGTTTGGGTGGTTATATTTGCATGCTTATGCACACATTTGAAAATCGGGTGCATAATTATATAGTTGTAATACAAATACATGATGTTTTTCCTTGGGGATGATAGCCTTGCTATTGTTCCTAATTCTTTAAATTTTCCACATCTTTAAATTTTTCTGCTGCAGCAATTTGGATAAATTATTATAGTGGGTACCAATCTAAAGCTATGCTATTAACTAAAGATCTATCAGATATTTTAATCTTTCTGGGATAAGTCAACCCAGTTTCTCCTTGGTAAATTATTACCATAACAAAGTAATACTGTCCCTAAAAATTTAAAGTTGTTACATCATTACCAACTAAAGACAAAAGTCCACAGTCTTTAATATCTGCCGTATTGTTTTTCTCATTGATTTTAAAAACCAGTTCAAAGTAACTGTTAGAATTTGCTTGTAAAATGAATTATCAAATTGGATGTAAAGTCTCTTTCCTGAAAATGTTGGCATAGTAAATAAAAATAAAGTTCATAATTATAAAACTTTCCTTGTCCTTCGCAACGTTGACTTGATCCATGGTATACTTTTTCCCTGAGATCTTTTTTCCACAAATACTATTCATTGATTTTTTTCATATGCTCTTCCTTTCACATACACTCCTCTACACATCACATTCCAAGCCCTGAAATTGAACACCAATTTGACTTGACCTGGTATTGTAAGGGGGAAAGGATGTCCTCATCGAACTCTACAGATACAGGTTTCATGGACTCCACCCCCACCCCAGATTCTGGAACTACAAATTCCATCAATAGAGAAGCACGCTGGGACCTGAGGGTGGAGCTAAGCAGCTGGGTTGGTATATAAAACCTGACTTGAGCTTCAGGGGTCTCTTGACCTGTGGCTGGTGGCTTGTCTCTTGACTCTTCACTGGTTTTCAGCATGCTACTGGGGTTCCAGGTCAGCGGAACTGGTAGGACACATTAACTAATTTATATCTCTTTCCCTGAACTACTCATTTCCCTTTCCCCTTGTAAATAAATCCATTATTAACCTTTTTGTGTGTTTGCACCTGCAGTTAAATCTTAAGCGCACAGGTGAGGACCGACAGTCAGGCTACCCAATTGGGTTGCCCTATAACCGTACTGTCAAAGACTTTGTAAGTCATCTGCTACTTGGGGCTCTATTTTAATTAGATACCCACTTGTTTTATTTTCTAAAGTTAAGTATTTTCACTTTTTATATTAAGGTAACATTGATTACACCACTATATATGATTCAGAATTAAAATATCCCACTGACTCAGGCGTATGCTACAATAACACACCTTATATATTTGTTTTATAAATAATTGGGTTAATGGATTTTTACTTGAAAAGTATTAGTACCTTGGGTTAGAATGCTACGTAAAAGAGGAAATACTTAATTGCTAATTATGAGGTATTACTGTATTTAATAGCTTCATGGAATAAAGTTTTAATGAAAATTTATGTCTTTTAGGAAAAAAAGTATTTAGTATATTTTTAATTATAATTTTTTCTAATTTAAGTATATGTGAGATTCAGTCACCTGTCCAGCTAAACTTTTCCCCTGAAGTTTCATTTCACCCTGGGATTCAGACACCTTGCACTGCTTTCATCTTTTGCTTATATTAGGTTAATTATTAGTTACATGCCTTCATTGCCCCTTGATAACCTGGCCTTTTATATTCTGATTTTATACAAGAACTCATTTAGCCATATTGTATATTATTAACAGCTGTTTATGTCAGTTGTTTTTTCCTTAGTTGATTAGTCAGTATTGAGTTTTGAGATGTCTTAACTGTTGTATTCTTCCTTTCCTTTTAGAACCATAACCCATCAGGTCTTGCTTTCTGAAGTTCACCTTAGATATTTGTGTCCAGGTTATGTTTTACTTCCATCCCATTCTTTATTATTTAGACAAAATAGTTTGGACTGGTTGATATTTTTGGTTACCTGCCTTTTGGTCTCTAAAGAGGAATGTAGACCATCTAGAAGAATATTTTTCTCATTGGCATGAGTTGTCTCCAAAAGCAACTCACAGAACTTTAACCATAAAAATAATATTGCTATTTTCTGTATTCTGAAGTATGACTTCTTTTCTAATCCACATGTAACTTAATTCATATATCCATTTTGACTAAGAGTAGTGATGTTTTGGTGATATTTTTAGATGATTATGGTTTTCTGCAATAATATATCCCAAGTAGCTAATCTGGTAAAGCAAAAGGTAACTGTTTTCTCTGATTCCTCACAGTAAACATTGCTGAAATGCATTGTATCTGGCAGGCTCTGGGTTTAATATTTTAATTTAGGATGAATGAAATGGTCTCTGACATAGAAGAAACCAATTTTTAGTAGGGCAGACATCCCCAAATAAAGAAATGTAGGAGAATTAAATGTACAATAAAGGGGTTTATGATCACTTGTGAATTTATCTTCAAACTTCATTTGAAGCAAACAAGTATATATGTTAAAATTTAAAAATTACAGCTAAACAAAAATTACATCATTACCAAATAATATGTAGTAGGCAATTACATTAAACTGAATTGAGATGTTTTTAAGTACATAAGTTCAAATACTTAACAGGATATTCTCTTGACAGTTGAGGCTTTGCACTTATATATATAAATTAAGGGTAGTTCAAGTGCAAATAGAATTGCAGTGAAAACAAAAATAATAGGATCTGAGATGAAATATGTGCATGTTGTTCCTTAAATTATATTCCTGATAAATGCTGAAACGCACTCCAATCTTCCTGCTACTCTGGTCAGGTTCAAAGGTCTAGGGCTGTACAGTACCTTGAGGGTATGTTTAGGAAGGGATATGAGCACATGACAGCTCATCTCAGTCTCCCCTAAGGTCCCTGGACCTTGATCCAATCACTCTCATTTCAAAATGTGAGCAAAAGAGGGAAGGAGTGGAATACAGTGTTTTCTTACCATTCAGAGCTCCCTAAGAATTTAAGGGAGGAGCAGACTATAGACTTAAAATATCATTCGTGAGTATTGCAAAAAATGTTACGTAAATCATTGAATAGATCAGCCACAGATTTAAAAAACGACAAACACAAATATTTTCTTGTTTGCTATAGTAGTCAGATGTAAAATAAACAATAAAATCATTTACATATCTTGATAAACAAAATGCTACTTAAAATAATGCAAAATTAGAAATAAATGTCTGAATACAGAATGATTAAATTACTTAATCTATTTGACAATATTTCTACATAGAATACTTTTGAAGTCTACTCAGTATATTCACATTGCAACATTTTATCAGTATCTTCATTATAATGAAAAAGCAAAATAACAAACCTGAATGCAGTCCACTCCTGATGAATATGTGTTCATTATAATTTTCTACAGAACAAAACATGTTTGTAAGGGCGGTAAGAGTTACTGCTTTATTTTTTAATCTTCATTTTATGTATTTGTATTTTTAAAATTACGAGCCTGTACTCTTATAATCAGAGAAAGTTGTTTTTATTTTCAATAACAAGCATTTCTATTGCTTAGGCAACATTGTAAAGAACTTGGCACATAAACATTCAATAATTGATGTCCACCTCTTCTCGCCCTCCCCACCCACCAACATACACACTATTTTGAGTGTGGAAGAGCAGTCTATGGGCAGGGAGAGTTGGGTCACCTTGTCCATAGGGATTTCTAACTTTAGTCAGTGCTGTCGCCACAATCCTCTGTTCCTCTTAAAATTTGGGGCCCAGTCGGTCCTCCCTGGTGGCGCAGCGGGTTAAAGCACAGCACTGAGAATCTAAAGCCACTTCCACATGAGTTCAATCCCCGCCTGCTCCGGAGGAGACCACATGGCGCGGCAGACCTCTCCTGACCCGCCCGCTGCTCCCCTCAGCAGTGTACTACCATGATCTGCCTGTTCTGCTCCCTACTCCGTCTCTGGTGAATCCTCTCACCCTCCGCAACTCTGGCCTGTACCTCAGTTCTGTATGAATCAATAAATAAATCTTAAAAAAAAAAAATTGGGGGCCCAGTCATCCCTCAGCCCAATCCACGGGGGCTATAACTTAGTAAAATTAAGGAGGATACATAGCAAAGTCACAGGAAATTTCAGTGCAGCCAGGCTCCTTCCAGGTGGTCTGGTCTTGCCATGTGTGCCTTTGAGCTCTATCTCATCCTTTGAGATTCAGTCACCTGTCCAGCCTCCTCTGACCTTCCTGGGTTTGCCAAGCCCTTGGAGGCTGACCTTGGTGGGAAGCCTCACCATGCTGGAGTGAGTGTCTCCTCCCCACTAGACCACACTCTCTTGTCACTGGCACATTTGTTATATGAGTGGACAAAGGGGAGATGAGGTTAAGACTTGAAGGTGGAGTGACTGAAAATCCCCTCTTCCTTCCCCAATAGTTAAAGTGGGATGGAGTGAGCCCTTTCAGTTCTTTAAAATTTCTTTTATTTGTCTTACAACTGCAACATAAACTATTTGAAATGGAGGATAGTTTTCTAAGATCAGATGTAACAGAATGTGAAATGCTATCTGTAGAAGAGATGAGACAGGGAGTGATGGTCCTTCAAGAAAGGAAGAGAAAAGCAATAGTTCAGGAGCTTCCTTCTTTGGGGACCCTCAGTAATCTGGCCAGTATCCATTATAGCCAGTTTCTTCTAACCTCTCTGTTGAAATCTACCTGCATCTCTACCCATGCTCTACTATACGTCTCTGGAGCAGGAATATTTGTGTCCTGGACCACTACATCTCCTACTGGCTTCCCAGCCCAGCAGTTTGATTATGAGACAGCCATCGAGTGAGTGAGGCTTTGTGCTCACGGTGTCTGTTACAGATGGTGTATCATCAGATGGTAAGTGACTTATGGACAGACGTAGCTAATGACAGATGAGCTAGTGACACCAAATGTAGTACTGCTGCATTTTTGTCTTACTCCTCTCTGTTTTCAGGTATTTGGACTTGGGAACACATAGGCATCCAGGGATAGGCCCATTGTCAGTGGTGAAGTATATTACTCCTAAACTTGAATAGTTATGCCCTTAGCATCTACTAGTTAGATTGGAGATGCCCATCTTTATTTGTACCAACAGTTCCTCATTAATATTTTGTTACCAGTTCCATCTGTGCTCTCCCGGTTTGGAGGGCTGAGTGAAAATCTTTGTAGACTGATCTATCCCTGCCTGGTCCCACTGCATTGTTAGGGCTGGTTTGCTGTGGGATGTCAACTCTTCATATATCAGTATTAACTGGCTTTCATGTCTGGATGAAGGAATGCATCATGTAATTGGATTGATTTTTAAAGTCTGGTTCAGTGATGCTGGAAACCAGAACAGGCAAATCTTAGGGCTTTGCCTCACCACCCTGTGGTGCAGACTTGATGACTGCTCTGCTATACTTTGCCACTTCCTGCCTCCAATTCTTGGAAGAACTGAGGAGCAGTCTACCCAAATTCTGCTTGTTTTGAGCCAAAGAGGGAGATCCCTCCCTGCTTTAATAATACCGCTTATTTATGGCTTCCTTAAGGTTCAGCTTTTTCCTCTC